CTAGAACTTGGTTACACTGAAATGCAAGCAGCATATTCACATGGGTATATCCTTGCAGAGCAGCTAGTGACCCACCGTCTCAATCTCTTCAGCATACTGGAAGGTTCACACAAGCACAAGACTCAGAGGATAAACCGGGTAGTCCAAATAATGTGTTTTTTAGGTTTCATATTTTATGAACTAGGTAGACACTGTAAACATCATGGGCAAGCAAAAAACTGTGAGCCCCAGCTTTTCTAAAGTGTATACCATGAGTCCCAGCACTAATGGAACATCGGATATCAGACCTTTAAATGGTCACCTGACACTCACACCAGACAAAGACATTTCCTAGATGTTACTCATACACTGGGCCAGTTCCTGGATAGTCACTCTCAGTAAACACCAATAAAAAAATAAAGATGTGGCTGAACCTCCCAAATTCAAATCCAGATCCCAGCTTTTCCAACACTTGGGAGTGCTCCGATGTGGGGTTTCAATCATTCCGGCTCCATCTAATAGAGATAGGTAACCTTGGCACCATGTTTAGCTTGCCAAGGACGGCATTAAAATGAGCTTAACTGAGACATTTGCTTTAGCTGCAGGATTAAATAAGCAAAAGCAAAACAAAAAGCTGGGGGTTATTTTGCCACGACAATAGTGTTCGAGGAAAATTCCAGTTTTGATTTCCTCTGTGGGAATGCCAGCAGTCCTGTTCCATAAACTCTAGTGATTCATCACTATCCCAGGCAGCCAATCATTCGACAGGTCAAGTAGAAATGGGCTGTAGTGCCAGCAGCTCATGCTGCCCTGATAATGCATGTCATTCCAGGCATGGCGACATGCTTTCTCAACAGCTGCCATTTTCAGTTACCTTTTATACAGCTGACATACAAGTAAATGTGTTGGAAGCAGTAAAACAGTCATAGGAAAGCAAAGATAAATAGCACCTGTACTAGATAATCTCTCTAATGTCATTAGAGAGCGGAGAATGATATGTTTTGAGAAAGAATTTCTGCCTTTCAAAACAACACTTTACTAGTGGGCTTTTTTGACAGGGTGTTCAAATAAACACAGGGATTCATTTGGACTGTAATCTTAACAGATATGACCATAGGGGGGGGGGAAAACCCAAACTTCTCACCGTCCACTTGTGAGAAAAGCTTTTATATATCTTGAATTCAAGGATGTTCACTTTAAGAAACACAATTGTTCTGTGAAGTGTGGGAATCCCAAAACACTCATGAAGAAAATTTTCTTTTTCCCTTTCAGCCTTTATTCCATATCACATACCTTGAAGTCACAAATAGGTAATTTAATAACTGTCCTTTTAATTAAGAGAAGCTGAATACATTTCTACAGAACAAATGTGACTGGTATCTTAGAGGGCAGAGCAGACAAAAAGCAATGATTTTTTTTAAGTTGTGTAACCATACAGTAAAAAGACCCAAATAATAAACTGGTAAAGTGATACCCAATAAAGCTGCTGAAACAAGATTTCAGATGTATAGGGTTATCTATATTAATGTCTAGGTAATCTACAAATGAAGGTTACACTGAGACTTTCTGGTTACCTAAAAGGCATCCAATTAGAAACTATTACAGAAAGCTCTTCAAGAGAGACTCAGTTGCATCTTCTCATTTCCTCTATAGATAAAATCAAAACATCTATGTTTTCTTATTTGAAAGAACCAGCCCCTCAAATGCCAAATGAAAGCCAAACTACTCTCGATATAAAGTCCTCTTAGGCATCTTGCTTTCAGATTTCATCAACTTAGGAGTTTTCAGGGCTGAAAGCAATGAACTTTCCATCAGCAGCATCTTCAGCTAATTAACCCTCCTGATTACAATAATTAGTATTGATTCACTCCTGAGTGACTTCTTAAGTATTCAAGCATAATCTACACTTGCAGTAAAAGTTCTAGATATGAATATTAACTGAACGTTGTCCTTTGTTTTTCAGCCACAAAGGTACAGTTTGCAATCTTACGTACTTACATTTGATAAACACTTCAGCTTTATTTTAATTTAACAAAGAGAATATTAACACATTTGACGTTAGAGATGGTAGTTCATGAATCTGAAGAAAACAGACAGAGACTACAGACTAATAAATATCTACATTTCAGCTACCATCTTCTTACGGCACTCTGATAAGCCATTTCCCAGGTTCACACACAAGCTAGTCTTGCTCTGCTAGATTGGTCTAAGAACTGTAATTCCTTCTGGCATTACACTTGGTCATTGCAGAAACAAACAACTACTTACTTCAGTGTCTGAATTAGCTATCTTGTCACTGTTCTGGGAAGAGATGTTGACAAGTTTACCAACTTCAGGGTGCCACATTGCTCTTTGAATCTCACCCATTCACAACCGGTTAAAGCTAAAGACACCTGAAGTATTACTGCCGGAGACCTCTACCTGAAAATTCTTCTGAAACTAGGAACCTGTTTCACAATCATAGCTGTTAAAATAATTAAATACATGACTAAAAGAGCAATGACCCAGTAAATATCCACACAAGAATAAGGATAATATTTTAGGAGTTTTGTCTGTATTGCAAGTTTTAATTTAATCTGAATAAAGTATTATATGATGCCACTGGAGTATTCTGGACAAGATGAACACTGATTAGATAGAATATTTTCCTCTGCGTTTTATCAATTACCCTAATCTCAAAATATGCAAAACAATATACTAGTGGCAGTGTGGTATGAACTCATTATGAAGTATGGGTTTAGAAACAGGTTTGGGAATCGAAATCCCCCAACAAAGGAAGCTGGATATGTTGTACAGGTGACATGTTAGTGACTTGTCAAGTTGGAGAATTGCCATTCTGCCATTAGCACCCAGCTTTGGTGATTATTAATGGAGTATTTACATTAAATCTGAAGCAGGCTATCACATACTTTCTTGCCTGATAATCTCAAGGGACCATGATAAGAGCAGCTGCTAGAATGCATTGCCTACGTGAGGGTAACTCGACAAAAGATACCTCACCCCAGCTGCACAGTCCTGGGCAGAAAAGAACTGGCCCTGTAGGGACTAGTTAACACTTCTCTGGAAGGAAAAAGTTCTTCTAAGGTACGGGGGGGGGGAGGAAGAGAGTGACTATAGCAGGCTTTGAGCATGATCTCATCATGTTAAACACCATGCCTAACTTTTATGGTGATTGAGTGCAGTATATGTCCTGCAAGCAAAAGTTTTCTATGTTATAACCTCTATTTTAAGTTAAACACATGCACTTTTCATGACTTGTCATTTTATCTGTTCACCTTGTTTTATCTCTAAATGGAAAAAAACCACTGTAAGCACAAGGGACTCTGAATGGCTTCAGTAAAATAATTTTGTTTAAATGTATGCTGCTGAGCTCTCTCTCAGCAATATATCCTTATTTAAGAAATCATTTACTCTCCTCAAAACATCGGTATGATTTCATAAAACTAACACAAGGGAACGCAGTAAACAAAAACAAGCCCTTTAAAGTAACTGTTCTAAACAAAAGCCAAACAACACAGCTGCATATCAATCTTTTCTATTAGTAAATCCACTCAGTGATTACATTTTTATTATATTAACAAGGCCAGTGATATAGTTAATTAATCTGTAAACTATTTAAAGACTTCAAGAGTTGTAGAAACTCTAGACTATTGACAACTCATTTAAAGTATATGCAGTTGTCCTGAGAAATGATTTAAAGATTTTGGAAAGCTTGGTAAATGAGTTTCTTTTTATAACACTGTATTTTACGAGACTATAAGAGTACGTCCAAATCCAAAAACAAAAATTTCTTCAACACTCTAATCCTAAACAAGGTCTTTCCAAATAAATAGATGGATAATTCAAAAAATGTTATATGTAATAATTTGTTAGATTTTAGGACAGGAATCATCCATGTAAATTATTCTGCTTGACCTTAAAAATCCTAACGTAATACTAACAGTTGGATTCCAAAAATGATATATATCTCTGTCTGCTTTATCATTTTTGTAGCTAGTTTTCATTACCAAAAACAAAATGTAAAAATAGTGGACATCAACATAGCAGTCAAAGTTAAAATGATCAGACATAAAATATTGTAAACACATGTCCAGTAACCTTGTAGTTGCCAGATGGACATCAGTTTTGTAAGCATTCAGAATCAGTAAGTTTTCTCTCTACAGTTAAAGGAGAAGATAGCAATAAATCTCCAACTTAATGCAACAGACATAATTACAAGATGCAAAACCCCCACTATTAACAGTGGATATCAAATTTTAAAAACCCACAAACAAGTAATGCTACAACGCTTCGTATTATACAGCTATACAAATAAAAAATAAAAAAGGGCTGAGAAAGAAAAAAAAAAAGAAAGCCCCAGACATGCATTAAGCTAGTTTGACAGCTCCATTGTTCAGCTGTCCCATTGTCAGACCAAAAGATGCATTCAATGCTACCATGTCTGCTAGCAAATAAACAAAAGACTACATTTTTCAAAGCAGGCTGCCAATTCTAGCATAATTCTGTGTCTCTCCCTCTGAAAAAGGTAGCCGCCTCTTGCTCTCCACTACACTATGGTACGTTAAGAATACACACACACATACGTACATGTATATATACACATTTTTTGAACAGCTTCAAGTGATCCGGATGAGGTAGAGCATTCATGACTATTTATGTAGACTAAGTGAAAATTAAAAGTGGTACTTAGGGCACTAGCTCTAATATGGAGTATCTTTCCATATTTATTCCATACCCAATGCATAATAACGAATCAGGCAGAAATATTGCAAAGGAGATGATAAAAGAAGAACCAGCTTTCAGCTGTTTTTATATTTGTTGCCTGCTTTTCTTAATACATCGGTCATCAGACACGTTAAATGCAATTGTAACTAGTGGAAATGCTGCTTGCACACAGCAATGCCCCTCTGTCTTTTTTTTATTATTTTTAAATAGGGAAACTACTTAATACAGAGCATGATTATGGTTGCAGCGGGCCCAGGCAACTAGAAAGCACACATTAAACAAAGGAGACAACATACCTTAAAAGCAGCTCCTCATTTCTCATAGTAACAGCAGATTTGGGACAGCGCATGCTTTCTGCACCGATATTCTCAACAAAAGCCAGTTCAGAAGTGCGCTCAAACATCAATGCCACAGTTGCTACTCACTAATGGCTACTCTTTCTCTCTCTAGTCAGACGCTGAGTGGTGGAGCAAAGGGGCCCCTGCAGATTCACTAAGCAGAAATAATCCTCTCTGACAAGTTATGTTGTCTGGGCATATTTTACATTAATGCACTCTGCTGCCTATAGGGGTCTTGTTTGCGTTCACTATTGCCTGGCTGGTGTTAGCTCTCCTAATTACCATAAAAAAATTAGTAATTCTCCCCCCCTTCAAAAAAATAAATTAATGAGTTTCCTATTCTGTTTGGTGAAATGAAAACATGAAGTGCATCTTTTGTTTGCCTTGTGAATGATCAATAACGCGGCACAGAGGCTGTGGCTGGATAGGCTTTAAGGGATTTTGCTTAGGCTCTCGTTCTGGGGCTTTGGATACACAGTAGGATTTCTCACTCTCCCCCTCATTCCCCACCCTGTTCGAGGCGGAGTGGCTTTATAGGACCTACTAGCCCTGATCAGAGAAACGGAGGATTGTTGATTTGAGAGTTTAGGGACCTTTGGAGAGTTTTCAGTTTGCTTTTGCCATTTCCTGCTGGACACAACTCCTCTGAAGCCTTAGCAAATGACCTAGTTCACTCTCACCGGTGACTATGTGGATGTGCGGCTTTTACAAACATCGCTGCACAGCCATTAGGGGTTGCATTTATTCACTTTCAATCCGTGAAAGAGACCACAGAGTCACATCTGTAAAGCAATTAGGGCCAAAGGCTATTCACATTGAAGTCAATGGGACCCTCGCTATTGACTTCAATAGAAACAGTGGCCCTTAATCACTAGTCTCCAATGGGGTCAAAATGAAGTGTACTTTCACGTCTGGACTCATTCATGCCATCGCTGGAGAAACCGCTATATCTCCTCTCTATCTCACGTATTTAAGGTCTTCACCAGATATGTAGATAAGTGGGTTTTTCCCCCTCAGCCTGCTAAAACACCAAGAGACTGAGGCTCATTCACTCTATGGCCTCTTTACACCACTCTGGCAGTGTAAACAGATCTTAAAGTGGGCACCAATTCCATGAGGTCCCCTTTATGCTACCAGAGTGGCGCGAAGAGCTATTGGGGAAAATGAGAATCAGACCTCAAATTATTTGAAGGGCCTGATGTATGCCTTGCACACTAAGCTAAAGACAGACTTGAATCTCAAAATTTCCCAAAATTCAGGTGTGTTTTGATTTACAATTTTTCCTGGGAGTCCCCCTTTTTATACCACACATCGGTATCTTGTATGAACTATTCACTAGCGTATCCCTGTTTGCAGCTGAACAGAATTTCACAGTTGGAGGATTCCCTTACTGAGTTTGGTGTTACTGGATAGGTTTGGTCTCATTGGTGGGTGGGAGAGGAGATTGAGGGCCCTGGGGAAGCAGTCACCAACCCAGCAAATACGATGGTGGGTTCTCACCTTCAGTGAAAGGAGAACATGATACTATGGTGGGCAAAGGTTTGTCCTTAGATTTGTACATAGGGCTAGTCTACAGGGCAAGATACTGCACAGCAAGCTGGGGTGCTGTAGATTCATACCCTGGCTTGTCAGGCAGTAACTTGCTGTGTAGAAAAGCCCTTACACATTGTAAACTCATTGTGGCAATGGCCGTCTTTTTGTTCTGTGTTTGCACAATCGGGTCCGGTCTACGACTGAGGCTTCTAGGCACTACTGCAAAACAAATAGCGCATTTTCATTGTTAAAAGTACGTACTCCAAAGTGCACTAAAAGGCATTGCGCATTTAGCTTTTACTGAAAATCCATGCAGCAGTCATGAGAATTGGCTGGGACAATGCTATGCCACCATGACAAGTCCTGCAACTCAACCCCCAAATACTAAATCCTAAAATACTAGCTCCAGTACTGCCATTTCAGGCTGTGGTGATTGGTGCTTTAGATTCACTGGCACCTTAAATTCTCTCTCTCCCTCGCTCAAGGTGAAGTTCTGGGCTCTGTATTGGTGCACCAATGCTTTCCATTTCCAAATCACTTTTGCCTGCTGTAACCTGACAAGATGATTGGGTTGGTCCAGACCAGTCTCAGACTCATAAAATTGATGTTTAGAGTACTACAAGCTCTGGGGTATGTGAGAGAATGTACAGCGGAATGGTGAATGTCAGGCACTGGCTAATAAACTGCTACAATTGTCCAAAAACACGGGAGGAATCACCATCTTAAGACACTACCAGTTGAAAGTACAGTGGTTTCTTTTCAGGACTGAGTAAAATGGCTTCTGAGAGTCTTTTGGGCCTAGTTATGGAATCAACGCAGCTTGCGTTGGGTAGCTGACTGAACCTAGTTCTGCTCCCACATGGAAGGAAAAGTAGCAGTTATGGAAAATGAAGTCTAAGGATTTTGAAAGGGCTCATCCACAGTGTAAAGAAAGCAAAGCAAAAACCACTAAGTGGTAACAGTAAAAGATAAAAAACAACCTTTCCATTGCATGACATACTAAACAGGAGTGCCTTTAAAATAATATGGCTTAAGGGAAGATTAAACCAGATGCACCGGGCTATTTGGTTTCTGTCAGGATGAAATCCCAGGTATAGAATTTAAGGTAAATACAACACTTAACACTAACATCATAAGAACATAAGAACGGCCATACTGGGTCAGACCAAAGGTCCATCCAGCCCAGCATCCTGTCCACCGACAGTGACCAATGCCAGGTGTCCCAGAGGGAGTGAACCTAACAGGTAATGATCAAGTGATCTCTCTCCTGCCATCCGTCTCCACCCTCTGACAAACAGAAGCTAGGGACACCATTCCTTACCCATCCTGGCTAATAGCCATTAATGGACACATCAGATCACACATATATAACTTCTACATATATACTGTAGATTCTTATACACAAATATATGCAGTGGTAGCCATTAAAAGCTTTATAACTCGTATAGCTAGTATTTAATGCAACTACAGGACTCCTAGAAATTATGTAAGCATTTCCCATACTAATTATACTGTGCTGCATAAACTGAATGCTGTGGCAATGTTAATTACTTGCAAAGGCTTCATGGCGACCAGCCTAAAGTCAATGGAGCAAGGACGATTTATACCAGCTGAGGGACTGGCCTATATTCTGTAACTTCCCCTTGGATTATTTTTAATCATTCAGATTGCTTAAGAAAACAGACTTATATGTCCAAAACAAACTGTGCTACTTCCCTATAAAGAGGCAAAATAGCATGTGGAGGGCACCAACCTACATCTGATCACATACAGAGGAAAGATGGTCCAGTGGTTAGAATATCAGCCTAAGATTTAGGACACCAGGATTCAACTCCCTGTTCCACCACAAATTGCCCCCGTGGTCTTCAGCAAGTCACTTAGCTTCTCCGTGCCTCAGTTTCCTATATGTAACATGAGGCTAATAATAGCACTGCCCTACCTCAACGGGTGTTGTAAGGTAGAGCATTAAAGACTGTGAAGTCATCAGCTACTATAATAATGGAATAAGCCATATCAGTGCCTAAGATAGATAGAACACTATCTAACACCTTCCCACAAGAGGAACCTACAACGCCAACCAAGGCCAGATCGTGCGCTGTCTTGTGTTGTCATTTACTTCTGTGCAAAATGAACACAATGATACTGTAAAGAGCTAGAATTCTGATGCGACAGCATTTTACACCCACTTTGCACTAGTTGAAGTGACTACACAAAGTTTCAGGCAGCAGGTAATCAACATCCCACTCAAAAGAGTGACATGGCTGTCCTTTCTGGCATCTCTCTGGGGAGAGGAGTTGGATGGTTCACCCGGGTTCTACCACCACCAAGAGCAGCCAACTGCTTCCTCTGAAGTCTCCCACTGATGGGAGCCACTCCGACGGCCTGAAGTCTTTGTGCCAATAAGAACTTTAGGGTAGAGCTGGCTGAACATTTTTGGCATTAAAACAAAATGGAGATTTGGGGTGACTACAACATTTCAGAAATTTTGCCAAATTGTTTTGGTTAAAAAAAAAAAGACATTTCAGTTTGGGGGGGGGAATTATTATTTTTTCAATTCAAAATCGAAATGAAAGGTTTCATTTGACGCCAAAAAAAAAAAAATATCAAATCTCTCTCCAGCTTTTTGGTTTCCCAAAATCTCTTTGGAAAATTTTTTGTTTTGAGTTCACCTGAAGCTATTTTTCCCCCTAATTTTTTGGGACTGCCAGAAAACTGAAAAACCTGCTCTTTGCACCACTATACTTCAGAGCAGAGGGATTGATTCTGCCAGCACTGAACTCAGTGGGATTTTTCTGTACGTCCTCACTGGGAGAGGAACCACAATGTTTTCTTTGTGGAAGTCTTTATGTGCCAATATTTTGTAAAAAAAAATCCAAATCATGAATGATGGGAGGCAACATAGCCCAGTAGATAGGACAATGAGCTGGAAGTCATGAGACCTGCATTCTATTCCTGGCTCTGCAACTGACCTGTGTGTGACCTTGGGCAACTCAATTTGCCTCTCAATGCCTCAGTTTCTCCTCACACATTGTGTTTATACAGTCTATTTAGGTTGGAAGCTCTATGGCACATGGATGGTCTCTTCTTGTATGTTTCTACAGAACTAAGGTGACCAGACAGCAAATGTGAAAAATCGGGAGGGGGGAGGGGGAGGGGTAATAGGAGCGTATATAAGAAAAGACCCAAAAGTCGGGACTGTCCCTGTAAAATTGGGACATCTGGTCACCCTATCCAGCAGAATGGGGCCCTGATCTCAGCTGGGGTCTCTTTCTACTGCTGTGTACAAAAAATAAATACTAATAATCCATTTTTTTCTTGGGGACAATAACAGAAAAAATTGCTCTCCAATTAAAACCTTTGCTATCAGGCAACATATCCCAACCTCAGAAGTTACTTTTATCCTAGGGCAATATTTTCTGGTATTGTAATCCAAGACAATCACTACTTCTATTATGCACACGCCCACAAGTTGATACCTTTCTTCAATCCTACCAGAAACAATCAGAACATTGTTATGCAAAGACAGACTTCCTAATCAAGGCATTTCTGGATACAATTTCATGATGAAAACATCTAAACTGTATTCCTTTTACAGCACTTGCAGGACATAAGCTCATCTCATAAATCCATGGAACTCCACCCTGAAAATAACGGAGCATGCACAAGAGAGAAAATGTACTGGTGCA